CAAACCTCCACTCAGCAAGGGACCACTGCATCCCTCTCAAATGTGGGCCAAGACCCTGGTAGTACTGATTAAGTACTGCTGTCTTAATGATCTTAATGACAATTAATCACCTAAAAAATCTAAAAACACGGTTGATATTGATTATGTATGATATTGTATGATTATGTTTGATATCGATTACTTTGATGTTCAAATGAATTTGAGCGTTTGATGTTGGACCAGTCTTGATCCATCTCCCCAGGCCGCAAATCCGGCTCCATAGCTTGAATCGGGGGGACCTTTCCTATTTTTTTTTCGGCTGGTACTCTTACATATTAGATCCATTTAAATCCATATTAAGTCCTATAAATCCCTTTTTGGCTTTTTCCAACACGTGCAAAGTGTAGTACCACTCTCCTGCTTGTTACAAATCTGTACGAATCCTTCAATTGCAGTCACTTGCAGCAGGTACCTCCTGGCATGACTCTCGCAGCCAGCTGATGTCTGCCGCCAAACCTCATGCTTGCAAGCTAGCTGATGATATTGCCATTTCGCATCACTTCGCATCAAAATCAATTGCCAGAATTTAGTCATGAGACTGTCGAAGTCCTGGGCTTGGTGTACTCAAAGTGAGCTGTCACTCCAAAGGAAAACATCTTCAAAGCGAGACCACATACAAATAGCAAAGCATGTGCATTAGCCTTTCAAAAAGCACACAGCTGGCCCGACCCTCTGGTGGTACCCTCTGCTTTCGAGGCACAGTGCGTCGCCGACACCACTGCAAAGTCAGAGTTCATCGCCTCTAGTCCAATTCCAAATGAACGTTGGAAGCTGAGAAAGCAAATATTGGAGCGCAAAGAAAGCACCTGCCAAACATTGTGAAGCATCATACAGGATTATTAGGTTGCATGGTTTGGGTTGCATCCATGGTAGAGATACTATAGTAATTTCCCAAATCAAGCTTTAGCAAACCGCATGCAGTTGCTTGTGACTCTATGACTATTTGAGAAAGTTTTACATCGTCTTGCATCCACATCTTGCATGCTCGCTTCCTTGTCCCCTAAAGTTTGTATGACCACTTGTGACATCTCGTGACACTCTGGGAAAGCATGAATCAAACAAGACACTGTATCCCGTATACCGCATGAATGTTTGAAATATGCTGCTTTGAGAATCCAACTGCAAAGCAAATATCTGCGGCAAAGCGCAAACGTAACGGCCTGGTGACCAAGCAAGTGAGTTATTGATAGTTGCAAACACAAGCACAAACATCACCCAGGTCTCGAGCGAGTCAGGTCGGTGAGAATCGGCTAACACACGGACCCGTCAAGTTAGATCCCAGTTGCAGTCAGACTGTGTGGCATGAGTTATCTTACGCACTGTGCACACTTTAGTGACATCTCTCAAGACAATGGGATCAAGTACAGTACTCATGATGTGGGTGTATGATAGTGATTCGATGGTTTAAGATGTTTTAAGATTTTTTAAGATGGTTTATGATGACGTTTTATGCATCTGGACTGATGGATTCTTTGCCTCTGATCACATTGACTGAACCCGACCCACCCCACCTTGGCATCACATCCAACACCTGCAGAAACTGCGGCTTCTGACCGTCCCTTGGCCAGCTTACTTTTAGGAGCTTTAGTGAACTCAGGGATCAGGCCTCATCGAGAAGCAATAGCCCAGGGTACTCAAACCTCATCCAAGCAACCCTACTTGAAAACAACTGCGATGGACCCTCATGTTTCAAATACTTGGAGCCTTTGCAGCTCCGTTTGTCTTCCCTCACTGACTTGTCTAATTACTCAGCCGCACGCCTCTGTTTCTGCAGTTTTCAAACGTCTCGCTTTTCTCACGAGCAAGCCATGAAACTGAGTCGGAAGCAAAGCGTGAGCACAGCGAGCCTGTCCGGGGAACAGCGGATACCGTGGAAAAGGGAGATGGATGGCGGTGTGGGCACCAAGATGCATCAAGAATCATCGACTGCTAAATTAAATCTTAAAGCCTTCGGAACTTCGGAACTACTCCCTGCACTCTATCTCTATCTGACTTGAACATGTACAAGCAAGCATGAAATCAAACGTTACCAAGTGCTTGGTCTTTAGAGCATGTTGAAGCGATCTTGCCAGCCAATTTTAAAAACTTCGAATCAAATCCAGTACTCAGTGAACTGAAAGAGGGTATTGTCTGTACTAGCACTGCTGGCACAAGGCCTATGTGCAAATAAATTCCCCAGAAATATTATCATGTGAATTATCCAGACTAACATGTCATCTACCTCGGCACGCCAAAAGGGCACCTTCCACTTCATTGATCTGGCTGATCTGGGAGAAGATTCAACCCCCCTTGGAAGCGATGCGACTGCTACTTGATGAGCGTGGATAAGTGTCGTAAAAGCACTCCAGGATTCAAATGCCTTGTTTGGAAGATTTTGGAAGTCTGTCCTGATTGAAGTCCACAACAGGTCTTTCCAAGATTGCATAACCAACCGTACAGTACATCCCTGTAATTATTCATATCATTCATTGCATGCACAACAGTCACGGCAGCACAATTCACTTTTTTGAGTTCTTCTGGCACAAAGACAAGCGCTTGCTAACATTGTGACGACATCAACATTTAAAAATTTCCGAACGCCAAAAAAACAGTGAATTGTGGACTCGAAAATGCTAAAGCCCCGAAGCTACTGGCAGATTCCGAAGTACTTGGAGTCAGGAACAAGCCACTGATTGGCAATGTTAATTCAAAATAGCTCAAACACTTTGACCATTTCAAGTTTTTGTTTGACCTTCAAGAAAATGCGATAAGTTTGGCATACGAACCTATAGCAGGAGCCAATAGGGGCCAATAGGGGCCAAATTAGATATCAAGAAAAAACCTCAAAAATTTGATCGCTGATGTGATGATTGGATGCAGCAAATGCTGAAGGAAAACCCTGGATATGAAGCGTTCATAGAAGAGAAACATGTATCGCACATGTTTTGCCCAGTCACCAGGCTTTGACCTCTTGCAAGTCCATGTCGTTGGGAACCTTGGAAAGGAACATCCAGGATAATATTCAATGGTGGCTCATTGCGATTCCTTAAGGTAGCAATGCTTACGTGGACGTGAAACTGGATGGCAAACTGAAAATCATGGAAGCAGTAGTGGTTCTTGGTACTTGCTGTTCTTGTGTTGAATGGAGGCTGTGCAATCTTGCTAGCTAGCACTGCAAACCTGCGCGCGAATCAATCTTTCAACTATTTTTGTCTGTGGTTGCCGGTCTCTTCTGGGCACTAGCGGCACAGGCAAATCTCCTGAAACTTTCACGAGCTACACGCTACAGAAAAATGGAAGAGTTTTGCTGAGGATTTTGCTCTACAACTTGCTGGAAGGAGGCAGAAGCAGCTTCTGCAGAACGGACTGCAGCAAGTCTGTCCCCTGCGCGTGGAGATTTTGGCACTTTTGCTTGAGTTCCTCCAATTTGGAGATCTGGTCCTTGATGCTTTGAATCTGTTCTTGTGTTAGCTTTTTCGGCTTGCCATGACAATCCGCAGCAATCCCTGTTCCCACAGCCGCGCCAGTCCCTCCGAGTGCCAGGGGGATAGTGAATGCAAGGATAGGTGGACATAAAGGGGCAAGGAAAGACAGACCTACACCGCTTGCCCCCACACCAGCTCCAATGGCAGCAGTTGTGTTCCCCTTCTGTTCACACCTAGCACTAGCTTCTCGCCTTTCAGCATCATCCAAATCATTGTTCAAGCGCTGCCCCTTCTCCCACATGTTCTGGGCAACATCCTGGATCCTGCCAAGAAGACTTGGAATCTTCTCCGCCACTAAGAGGTTCAATTCAGCAAGTGCCCAAAACCTCTCTTTGCTGCCTTTTTTCAGCTTCGCATCCATACCAGAAAGGATCTCCGAGTACCCATCAAGCTCTTGCTGTAGCTGAGGAACCTGGGTTTGAAACTCAGCCAGCTCTTTGCTTGATTGCTTCATGTACTCACTGACCTTCCTTGCCTCTTGCAGGGCTGCATGGGCAGTGCATGCTTGATTTACTCCCCAAGCAATAACTCCCACAGCGGCAAATCTCATCATCACAGCGTAGCAACTGCACTGGCAGCAGCGAATGTCTTTGCGCCAGTCGCTACTTTGAAGCCAGCTGCTGCTTTGAAGCCAGCTGTGGGTGCCAAGGTTGATGCGCTGATGAAGCTCATCATGTTTGGAAGCCCTCCGCTTGACATTTCAGCCAAAGTGCCATTCTTGACGGCGTCTAGTACCAGTACAATGAATGATAGTGACATAGATGCAGAGGAAGCATCTACACGGAACTTTCGAATTGCTTGACGGAGAACTTTCAAGCCATCCTCCTCCTTTTTTTCTCAGCCATGGTTTCATGCCGGTATTGGCATATGGGTGAAACCGCGGGCATGCGGAAGCGATCGGTTTTCAAAATTGGCGGCTGCGTGCACAGTTTAATAGTTCTTCTCTCTTTTTGAGAAATGGTGAAACTGCCGCCTTCGTTCTGGCTTGCCGAAGAGGCGCCAGGTACTTGATCGCTTCCGCATCTCTAGGGCTTTCTGCTTAAAGGAGTATTGTAACATAAATTGCTTAAACTGACGAAATAGTCGACGTTTGTACTTGGTTCTCTCAACTCTCTCTTTTTTACGACCCTCCGTCCTAGACTTACTACGGAAACCTCTGTTGCGATTTCTAGGTTTGCAAGCAGCCCTGTGGGGATATACTCTACGTCTCCGCAGTGGAGCCTGAGCTCCTCGCGGCCGAGCCGGTTCACCTCTGGTCGGTGGTATTCCAAGCAGCGGTAAATTGTTGACAATGCAAGGAGAAATGGCGTTTTGAGTGCTGTGTAAATTTGGAGGAGGTACTGACTCATCAGTCCCTATACCGATCAGAGAAGGTATGGAGTTCGAAGTCAAATTGCCGCCGTCTTGACGGCAATAAGTAGAAGTGAATTTAGAAACGACATCATGCGAATTTTGAGCGCTCTTGAGCCCTGTTGGTGCTTTTGTTGGTCTGTCTAGTCAAGAGTCAAGGCTGTCCTCATCTTCTTTGCGTTTGTTGACATGCTCATCGTAGCGCCAGTCTTGTACAGAGGCCAACTTATAGTCGAATGGATAGTTTCCTGCTGGAGTATCGAACGTCTTGCTTTTCCCTTTTCCTTTGCCTTTTCCTTTGTTTGCTTGTCCCTTGTTATTTCCAGATCCCACTTCATCCAGCGCTTCCATCCAATGGTCTGCTACATTCTGGAAGATGGTGTTGTCCAAGAAGACTGTGGCACGGACATCACGGACCGAAAAATGTACCCAACAGTATGTGTAGTAGTCATCGTGGATGGCATCGTGACCCCAATAGGGTTTCAGTTTGCTCAGATCTGTTCTCAGCTGTCCTTTCTCGTGAGCAATGTCCAAGGCTTTCAATACAATTTTGATTGGTTCAGCTTTCAATCTGCCCCACAAGCCAATCTGCGGTCTCATCTTCATCTGGTCATTGGTATGGGTTCCGTTGACATAGAAGTTGAGAGGACGCTTCTTGTTGATGTACTCGTCTTTGAACCATTTGTCAAGTTGAGCTCTCACCCAACTTTGTTTGAAATACACGATGGACATGCGGGATAGCTCTGACGATTTTGCAGTATGCGATATTTGGCACATCTCTGCACTAAGTCCTGCAGCTTGCAAGCACCAAAGCACAAACTGAGATCTCTGGTCTGAAGTGGCCTGGTTGGGCCATCCGACGAAGCATTCTTCTTTCGCTGCTGCGGCTCTTTGGTCTCCTATTTGTGACTTCAAGCTCCAGAGTTGTTGTCGCCTAAAGGCTTGTTGGTCGTCCTGGCATTCGTATAATTTGTCCTCCAGCTCACTCACTGCTGCTTTCAGGTCTTTCACTTGCTCTTCGATATCCATCACTACCACGTCTACTGTCTCTTTCACTGTCTCTGTGATTTTCCTCTCATGGATTCTCGGCCTAGAAGGTGTTTTGATATCTGTTCCGGCTCTCACTGGGGTATTTGTTTCAGGCATCTGTCCAGCTTTCCATTTTCGAATATTTTTTGATCTCTTACCAGGCTTCTCTTCAATCACCGCAAGTTCATTGTTCAATGAACGTCTCACACCAGGACCATCTGCGTCCGGTGCACTCTCCATTTTGGAGCTTAAACTCTCTACTACATCTTCTATTTCTGTGCTGCTCGGATTCCCCTTGAACCTCGCCCTCCTCCTGGCCTGCATCGATAAGCTTCATGCTCTTCTGCACCTGGGGAGAAATGTTCGCCCTCTTCTTGATCATTTTGAGATGCGCCATACAGTTCTTGTCAGGATTCTGTCCTGTGTAGGGCACAATCAGGATGCCATGCTGTTCCGCCATCTTTTGCACATTTGGAGAGATTGGAAGGGAGCACGAGCCGTCCACATACACCATGAGGATGCCAATCTCAGCCCGATGTGACTTCTTGTCGGACAGCAACTTGTCCACATCATGTGCACTCACTTTGCTTGCCGAGTAATGCTTGGCATCAACGACCCACCGGCAATCCGGCATATCCGCGATCCAATCAGGATTGCTTGTTTTGGAGGACGATGGGCGGTGACTATGCTGCTCTGCCTGACAGGTGTCATTGTCTTGGCGGTCGGTCGCCCTGAACTTCGGCTTGGTGACTTTGTCCTTCCCACATAATTACATCTTTCAAGCACTCCCCGACAGCATTCTCATACCAGACCTAGTTCTTGTTCTCTTCCTTGTTCTCATTCTTGCTCTCGTTGCCCATTTCTTCTGCCAGTGGAGCAACGCCAACCGTGCTTTGAGTAGCTTCAACTTCGAAGAACGAACTACAGCGCTACGATGAAAGATTGGGCCAGAGATGCAGCCATATAGCAGTTTATGTCAAACTGTTTAAGCGTGTGACAAAAATAGGCCGATGGTTAGGCACGGTAGGCACGCTACAACAGGTTTATTGTTCCACATAACTGGTGTCTCTGTCAGTGAGGCAGTTGCCATGCCTGTTTCAGTCTCTATATTTTACACACATTCGAACTGCTGAATTTAATAACTAGCTGAGCTTTGAGACTGCAGCGGCACGAATGGCATCCCCATCTATGACCTACAGTTGATGAGAATTGCTCTGCTGATGGCTAGCTTGAGAAATGCAGCCTTGATAATTAATTACAGTCAGAGAAAATTTAGATTGGTGAGAGAGAGACAGAGAGAGCGAAAAAAAAAAAAAACAGTTTGCAAAGTTTTTGGAGACTCAGCTCAGATGTAGACCTGCATAGGGCGCCGCAAAGATGGATCCATGAAGAAGTCGCCCTGGAGCGAAAACAGTGAATGTGTAAAGATGTGTAAAGTGTGAAGAGAGCAACAGCTAAATGTCAAATAATATCAAACTGTACTTCAATCTGGTTGCAGCCACGAATCCCCATCCGGACGGGTTATCACTGTTTTTCATCTTGGATTGAACACTCTATATAGTGAAGATGAAATGCTGTCAATGAACAACAAAGTCAAAGAGTGCTGTTTCACCTTGCTTTTTCATCATCTTCGTTTCCTTCCTGAGCTGTCCCAGTAAGACCAGCATTCAGAGGATAGCAATGTACAGTAATACGTAACCTGGCAGTCTCCCTCAGCCCGTTGGACATGTCAGTTCTGCCGCAGCTTCAGGTGTGCCAGCTGCCAAGAGCTTCAAAAGCCTCGACAAAAAATGGCAGGTGGCAATGGAAACTTGGGAGGTCCACCGCAGATTTGCAAACATGCCTCTTTTGCCCTCAGCGGTTGGTCATTACCATGATTGCCAATCCAAGTCGGTCCGATTGACTGTGACACCCGGGAGTTTGAATCAGTTGACAAGGCAAGGTGTCGGTGAAACACCGAGACTTGTGGCCAAGCTTCCGACGTGCTCTTACCAGAGCCTGACACTCCAAGAGCCACAATCGTTTTGCTACGACCTCAGCGGTTGCAGGTTTTGGGCAGCGGTCTTCCCAAAATAGATTTGACGTTCGAACAATCATATATATCATCATATATCATTGGTGCTGTGGTTTAAAAGAGACTGACAAAAATCTGCAAATCACTGCGAAGCCAAGTTGAGACAGCATCTACCGTTCACCCCTCGAGTAGAAACCAAAATTCTCTTGTATATCTACGTAAGTCTAGTGTAAAAAATGTCATTTTCTTGCACCGAAAATGTCAATGCAACTGTTGCTCCGAATTCTGGGCGTGCAATGTGGCATGTTCCAAGTCTGGCTTCGAATCTGGGCAAGCCCTGCGCAATTCCAGATCCACAGCTCGCAAACAACGATGTCGAACTTGCCGCCAGCGTGCCAAGACCTGCAACTGTCATTGAATTCGCACATGTCAAAGCAGTCCCTTCTGTGACATCTGAGAGTATTTCCAGCCCTCCATGGATGATTTCTAAGCCATTTAAACCCTTACTTACCTGCTCTGAACCTTTACACCCTGCCTGCGATGGCCACGGCGCAAGAAAGCCGATCAGCGCCAGCTGTATGAAAAAATTTGACTTTGCCATTTGAAACCATTGCGAATCATTGCGTTCTAATGGAGTCCAGAGCGGAGCCAGGATGTACTGTAGCTGGATGGAGTGGAGATTATCGACATGTTGTGGATCTGTCAGGGATCCAAATTCAAGCTTTCACAAATCACAAACCTGCTCCAATCTGTCCCCTACAAGTATGTCAGCTGATGGTTTGAAGTGCTGCTCCTGTAGCTTTGAATGCTGCCAAAGTACTACAGATACTACAGTAGTGTTGTCAAATCACTGACCAAGTCATTTCCTAGCTTCAAGAGCGCTCAAGCACCCCAGTTCAAGGCTCTCAGATTGAGCCAAAAAGCAGTTTGGACTGGTCAAGCTAGCGGCTATCGTCTAGCTAGGAAACGCCTACACCAATGTTTGAGACCAAATGAAATGAGCCTGAAGGAAATTATGTTTTTACTCCAAACGTTGCCACACTGTTCGCAGAAACGATTTGTCAGCTGCAGTCTGATTTAAGCTCAGACAAGGCTCATCAAGGTTCCAGTGCACTTCAGCATCAGCTTGTCCTCGACCTGCAAGCACCTGAGAGGAATCGAACACTCATGAGGCAGGGCCCAAGGAATCCCACACTTTTACATGCCTCATGGATTGGATTCGCCCGTCGCTTTGCGGAATCTCGCACGACATTTTCGACGTTGGCTCCATGTGGAGTGCCCAGGCCAGTTGCCTTCAGACTACAGACCCAAGGGCCGGTTCCATTCCAAGGCTGAATCAAACCTCACGAGGAAAAGGAAATAGATGGAACATGATGGGAATGCTATTATTTGCTTATGTGTTGATGTGTTTTTGCATTCTCAGCTGTTGAAGGATGTTTGAACTAACTCGAACAAGTTGGGATTTCAGCCGCTCCAAGAACGAGTACCACGAGATGCCAGTAGCACTTCGTGCCTCTGGACACTTGAGAGCAGGCAGAGGCGGACGAAAGGTAGTGTAGTGCGAGAGGAGTGGTGTCAAAATGCTGCGCCCCTAAGATGATACACCAAAAACGTTTTTGCGCAGTCTAAGATGATTTTATCCAGAGCATGACTGCATGATACGGTGTCTTGTGCAGCGTGAAATGATGCACGAAAAGGGGTTTATTTAAAACCCCTTTTTAAGACCCCTTGCAGCAACTGTTATTGAGGCTGAAGCATACCAATTATGCTGGACTACAGGGACATCTCCCTCATGGAAAGTGTGCCTCTAATGTGGGGGCCCGTGACCGCGTCACCCGTGGGAATTGAACCCATGACCATTTTCGGGGGGGGGGGGCCCCCCTTATAATTGATATCCAATACATAACGGCGAGAATTCCATGAATTCCGTGGGCTGGCCCCCCAATACCCCCTAAGCTTGTGCTGAAGCACGGAGAACTCAGGTAGCTGACGCTACCTTTCGTGATTTCCAGCTCGAGGGTTCGCAACCATCGTGGGATTGCCAGATCAGCAAACAGAGATGGATGATCTCATCATGATGGGCTCAAGATGGCTCAAGCTCGGCTACCACACCATCGCTGCGAAGCGTCAAGTGGAAGCGTTAGCGGGGGCCGAAGGACCAAAAACCAGGCACTGAACCACGACAGGGGTTCTTTGGGTCCGGCCCAGGAAACCTGCTGAAGCTGCTCTACGCCTCTTGCAGCTGGGAAATATAAAGGTCAAGAGATCACAATCAGTTTCTCCGAACTGGAATCCACTTCGAAAGCCAAGAAAATCTACAGCAAGGGAAGCGAAGGAGCACGAGACTTCAACGGGCATGGCATTAACGGTTGAGTTCGACAGTCTATGACTGTCTTGGAAAAAGGATCTAAACCAGCTATTCGAACTAATCTACACCACAGGGTTTGTCGCTCATCCAGTGAGGTCTTGGCACTCCTTGGCGCCTGAAGATTTCAAGACCTGCCAGATCAAAATCTCTTTGTGGTTTAGACTGGAAACATGGACAACAAGACTGCAACACTGACTCATGTTTCCGGTGCAAATTGAGGTTTGAGGCATATAGTATCATATAGTCATAGCCAATGTTCACGGTTTTGAAGCAACTATCAAAACCCTGGCGGGGCTTCCATGATCAAACATGAAAGTTTTGAAAGGAATGTTTTGGAACTTGTCTGCATTGGTGGTGCATGGCTGTAGCCTGTGCAGCTATGCACGCTATCTATCGTCATCTGCTTTCATTTCTTCATTTGCTTAGTGGCAGCTCTTTGGTCCTCTTATCATCTCAGAATCTGACTTTGCCCCATTTCCTTTACGTCCAACCTCACCGTTCATATTTTTGTTCCACAGTTGCTTCCTGTTACTGTTCCTTCTGTTCCTGTCTGTTCTATCAACATGAATTCTGCCACATATTGAACTAGTTTGTGGAAATCATATGAATTCTTTGCCATTAATCTTTCATAATTTTTCGGTCTGCAGAGCTTCTTTGCACAAAGCGATCTCCAGGCAGCCTCGAAGCAGGCTTTCGCATACTCCTGAAACACACGGCATTGTTGCTTGAACAAAGGTACATGACAATGCATTTAGCACATGAACTCTGCGCAACCTTGGTTTTTCGCTGTCTTCGTCAATCTATTTGAGCAGTTGGAGATCACACTTCCATAAGTGAACTTTGCGAACTATTCACAATGCTGGAGAAACTCTATCAGGATCACTCTTCCACATACAATGGACCCTATATCTTTTTTCCGCTCAAGCATCAAACGTCAAAGGTACCTTGTTCAGGCCTATGGAGATTATGGAGGGAGGTCCGGAGAATGAATCACTGACAGCTGCAGCTGCCACTCTTGGGGTCAGGGATCAGCTAATGAACAGCTGCAGTCGCCTTCACTATAATCGACGAGGAAACGGACCGGAAAGTCTCGCCTTAACGGATCTTAAACATGTTTCAACATCCTTTACCTGCCACTGACAGCTGCTACCGCGGTCTCAGCTGCAGATGACTTCACTCTGCAATAGATCTTCAACATCTTCGAACTTGACACCCTCACTGACAGCTGCCACCGCGGTGTCAGCTTCAGTCGAGTTGTGAGTAGGGCACTTTTGGGCTGCATCCTCGGTATTTTCTTTCTCCGAAAAAGCATCGCCAAGTGGGATGGGCACCATGAGACGCCACAAAAGCTGCAAATGAAGAGGTTCCTTGGAGTCGGTAAGCAATCCTTCACCTGCTCTAAAATATTCTAAAACACAATTCTTGTCCCTGCTTGCCATAGCAATAGCAGAGAAAGATGTACTCGCATCTGCGCAGGTGGTTGAAGCTGAAACAAACATTTTGGGAGTCCCGCCATGAGAAGGCGACTGTTGGTTTGGATCTTCAGCATTTTCTTCCTCCGAAAAAGCATCGCCAAGTGGAACGTTGGTTCTTTGACACTTGGGGCACCATCCATGGTTGAGAGAATCGATGCAGCTTGCTTGGCGTCAGTAGACAAGGCTACATCGCCGAGAAAACCGTTTGTTACCATCCCCTGTGTCCAAGAGCCAAATGGCTTAAGCCAAACAAATGTCTATATTGTGCATTATTGTGCTATATCCAACTTGTGCTCAATCGTCTGCATCCCTGAAGCTTTCTATTCATCCGGGTCGTCGGGAAAGGACATGAAGAGCTTTATCATTGTGGCGACAACATGCACCAAAAAAGCCCAAAAAAGACCGCCCTTGTGGCTCCGTGGCTTCAAGCAAGCCCTTGGTGATGTCCAGAGCTGTTTCGCCTCCTAGAGGAATGGTTGTGATGCAGCAACCCTGACAGTGACATACAATAACTTAGTTAATAAATGTTAATAACATACAATAACTTCATATAACTTCCTGGTATCCATGACAAGCTCATCTCTCCTGAGACTGCATTGACATCTGCTCGATGATTAATCAATGCAGTGATTGCATCCACCTTGGCAATTTCCAGTCTTGTCTCTCTTGTCCAAATCTCTGTGGCAGTGTGACATGATTGATTTGCCATACCCCTAGGGCCCTAGGACATCCTAGAGTCCTAGAACTAGATTGTCATTTTGCTGATGTGGGAGAAGGATTGGCGTCGTGATCTCATCCAAGGCACGTTGGCATTTTGCGCGGACCACGACAAGACCGGGGCCTGTGCCACTTCTTGTGACAAACACAAAGTGCATTCAAGTGCCACTTCAAGGGTCCCAGAGTGATCAGAGTCCAACTCCAACACAAGTCATTGATGATACAGTAGCCACGAATGAATAAACTCCTTCGAGGTGAATTGCACACTTTAACAAAGAATAACGCCATCCTGCAGGCCTGATATTCCGGATCACGTTGATTTGGATCTGCCCTTGCATCCAGTAACAATTCCAAAGCCTGACAGCAAGATAGCACCGAAGTAGCATACACTGTGGAGCACGAGGATAGAGATGGCCAATGCATCCGCACTCAACCAGCTCTAGAATTCTGCCCTTAACATTGATGTTCCCTTGCAGGAAAGTCAAGATATCACTGAATAAGGCTGAGCATCACTTCTCTCTCTCTCCCTCTTTCTCTCTCAATCACAGCATCTACATGTCATTTTCATGTCAACAGCTGAGCACTCCGACGTCGGTGCTGTCATTAACCGCTGCTGCAAGAAGGGCGGCTGCATTGCTGCTGTCGTTCACCCGATCCGGTTCTGCACCTGCCTTGGACATTGTCTTGGAATTTTCATTTCTTCAAGTTCAAACATCTGCGGACAACTCTGGCTAGCATGAGCAGGGAAAGAAAGGAGGTCTGAGTATTTATTAAATGTGTGTTTGTGTGTGTTTGTGTGTGTGTTTGTGTGTGTTTGTGTGTGTTTGTGTGTGTTTGTGTGTGTTTGTGTGTGTTTGTGTGTGTTTGTGTGTGTGTTGTGTGTGTGTTTGTGTGTGTTTGTGTGTGTTTGTGTGTGTTTGTGTGTGTTTGTGTGTGTTTGTGTGTGTTTGTGTGTGTTTGTGTGTGTTTGTGTGTGTTTGTGTGTGTTTGTGTGTGTTTGTGTGTGTTTGTGTGTGTGTGCGTGCGTGTGTGCGCGTGTGCGTGTGTGCGTGTGTGCGTGTGTGCGCGTGCGCGTGTGCGTGTGCGTGTGCGTGTGCGTGTGCGTGTGCGTGTGCGTGTGTGCATGTGTGTTTGCACCTCTTTTTGAGTAAGCGAGGACTTCCCTGCTTTCTTGCTGAATGTTGACTGACAAAGCAATTGCAATTTTTGCAGTATAGATTGCAATATCCAAACATGTCCAAGTTCTGCACACGCAGGACCTTTTCGAGGGCTTCGTAGGCGTGTTCAAAATCGTGGTCCTCCCAAAAGTTGCTCAGTTTCACATGAGAAGGTTTCAGCCAAAACACTTGGTGAGGTTTAATAAGTTAAATGCGGTGAACAAGGACTTCCATGGCTTCTTTGGGCCCAGGCAGACTCACCCTTGTGCAAGAGCGCCAGGGTCAAGAACTGCACCTCAAAAATATGTATGTCTATGCACTGCAAGATATACAGAGAAAGCAAGTCTTGGAGTCATCTCCTCACAGGTATCTAAAAACTGTTGATGGCATGATTCCTTGACATCTTTGACTGTTGGATCAAAGGGGATAAGTATGTCGCTGGTGTCTGCGCACTTCTGTCAGCACCATTGGGGTCTGCTCGGGCCTCGCAAAGACTCAAGGCATGGAAGGTAGATGACTCTGCAATTTGAGGACAATCTAGAGTACTCTGGAAGCAGAAAAAACATTTTTTAAAAAATACGCTGGTTTTTCATTACAGTGGTTTTTCATTAGACTTGTGTGTGCAAGGCCTTTATGTATCAAGATCTCATGTCATAGATGTGAACACAGTGAACACGACAAGTAAGGCAAACTGCTGTTGACCACAGCACGTTTTTGAAACGAAAGTGTCGTCAGGGGTCCCAACTTGCAGGAGCCGCTCCACAAGATTGTAATGACCTGCCTGCAACTGACTGACACTCCAGTGGTGGAAACGGAAATTGTTCTGCATTTCATGGAAACATCTTCAAACGTCTCAAAACTGTCACTTTTTCAGGATGACATCCTTCAGCATAATTCAAAATGGCTGTCATAAATGGGCCCCTTACATGGACAATTGATGACCATTGGAAGGTTTTGGAGCCACCTGGATGGCCATGAAGAGTGGCGTGCCACCATCGGCGCTGGCCAAGTTCGGGTCTGCCTTCCCTTCAAGCCTTGCCAAATCTTGGCAACATGGAAATGTGCCTCCTGTGGAGAACCCTGGGGTATTCAGCTGATACTTGGAAGTTGTAATTGGTGGGACACGAATGTGCAAGCATTTTTGGGGATACAGGAAGTATCATGAGTAGACGGAGAAACAGGCAACCGTCATACAATGGCTTTGTGAATGACTTGGTGTGCTTGAAGAGTCAAGAGTTCCCTCATCTTGCTTCTGATTACAATATATCACATAGCATAGTCCATCTTCCCAGGACGGATCGGACGTCAGATGTTTTTCTGCCTTCTGCACGATCATGCAAACATATTCTCAGCAACATGGCATGAATCACTGGATATCCAATGGATATCACAATAGATCACTAATCTAGTCATATCTAGTCTATGTATATATATATTATATATATATATATATATGTATGGTACCCCCCCCCAAAAAAAAAAACGACATTTTCAAGATTGTAACGCTTTTGGGATAGTTACCTTGTTCAGTTTGAGATCCAGTGGGGCAGTATCATACTTATATATGCATATATATATACGCATATGTATATTATTTGTTATCTTACTATTACTAAATCCATGTACTTAGAGTATTTTTTACAAGAAGTATTTGCAAACGTTTGCAAACGCTTGCAAACGTTCCTGATCAGGATTCAAGATTCAAGATTCAAGATTCCCAGAAAAACTTCTTGAATCCAAGGGGATAGGATTCAAGATTCAAGATTCAAGATTCCCAGAAAAACTTCTTGAATCCAAGGGGATAGGATTCAAGATTCAAGATTCAAGATTCCCAGAAAAACTTCTTGAATCCCAGGATTCAAGATTCAAGATTCCCAGAAAGAATTCTTGAATCCAAGGGGATAGGTCTTGAATCTTGAATCCTGGGATTCAAGAATTCTTTCTGGGAATCTTGAATCTTGAATCTTGAATCCTATCCCCTTGGATTCAAGAAGTTTTTCTGGGAATCTTGAATCTCGAATCTTGAATCCTGCCCCCTTGGATTCAAGAATTCTTTCTGGGAATCTTGAATCTTGAATCTTGAATCCTGGGATTCAAGAATTCTTTCTGGGAATCTTGAATCTTGAATCTTGAATCCTATCCCCTTGGATTCAAGAATTCTTTCTGGGAATCTTGAATCTTGAATCTTTCTAAGTACTTGGGTCCCTGGACTCGTTTGCAAACGTTTGCAAACGCTTTTGGTGACAAAATTACTCTAAGTACCTGGGTTCAACAGTAAGACAACAATTAATATATACGTATATATACATATATATTGTACATGAGTTAAATAATGAGTTTGAAGTGGAATTTCATCAGGTAATGGCATTTGTTGAAACAGTTTATCTGCAATTACAATATTACAACTCAAAGCACATTGACAAATAATCACTTGCAGATGTTGATTCTCTTGTCCATATATCAAAAATATTGTTATATGAAAAATATCTTTACATATATTGTTAAATAGTTGAGTTACTAAACTGTCTGCAAGGTTATATGTTTTATATTTTATTAGGTAAGATATAAACTCAATTTCATCTTGTAATGTTTGTTTTAAGACATTCATATATATATATATATTTGCATCATTAATATCAATTGTTTTTGGTAAAGAGATTTGTGAATTCTTGAGTAATTCATGTGCTATCATTCCATAAAAAGGTGCACAGTATTTTGAAGCCCTTTATAATATTTTTGACAGTGCATGATATTTTAGATGTTGCATATGTTGCATGCAAATATACATAAAATAGGAATGTCTACTTATTTGATTTGGTGATGTAGCAATCGCATCTATATAAGAAAAATGCTTTAGTGCAATATTATATACTTTTAATTTTACAAGTGCTATAAATCCTGCCAAGTTATGTATTTTTATATATTGTCAATATATGTTATATTGTTGCTAGCTTGATTAAGTAATTTGTAGGCAAGAGTGTATTTTTTAAATACTAATAGTTCCCTTGCATAGCATATTCTTAAGTCAGTACAATTTTATTGTCTCTTGAAAAGATGGGTTTAATATAGGAGCTAAATTTTGTTCTATTCTATATGGGTTTAGACGTATATAGATCTTTTCTGGAAAATAAATAATCAAAAATTAATCCTTAATTATATTGATGCTTATTATAATGTTATGATACATGTTTGTGCTTTGAGTATGATTTTGCTTTATTAAAATGCGACATTGCACTATCCTTTTATCCATATCTTTTAAACAACTGAAGAAATAAGAACTATTAAGATTTAATTGGTTTTGTAGTAATAGATTGTCGAGTTTAATTAAGTGATTTTTATAAGATATATATCTAGATATATATTTTCTTGCTAGCGTTTAAAGCAGTTTTGCCAATCATTTTTAATCCAACTATTTATAGCAAGAGCTTTATTTATTTTTATTTTTTGGTAGATTGTAAAAATTGTGTGTATGTAATTAAAACAATAAGCAAGTAGAAAAAAAAACATACAAAAATAGCATGTTTTAGATATTTTGGCACAATTTGAATCACCAGTTTTTTTTCCATCTGTTTCTAGTTCTTCTTCAGAGAATATGGATATATTTATTAGTGGCTCAAAAAATGAAATAACTATGGTGGAAGGATGTGGAATGGAATTTCCAGAAGACAGATTATTAAATATCTTAGATGAGGCTTTAAAGCTTTTTACTCCAGTTCTAAACTTGATATTAGATATGAAATCTAAAATATCAAAAATAGAGTTTATTTCCAATATTCCTCTAGATTCTCATGTTGCTCAACGTAATTGTCAGAAGAAATCGAAAATCACTCCAGTATACTTATTTTAAAAAGCACGCTATTTACTCAGTCTTCAAAACAAGAAAGAGAAAAACGTCGGTTTTGGGGGGGGGCTAGCATATGTATATATATGTATATATTATATATACATAGAATACATTGTAATACTAATATAGATATTCCAGGATGGGTTTCCCTGGGCTCCCGACAGCAAGTCCAAGACCTCCTCATGTCGCCCAGCTGCAGCGGCAGATGCTGGGCTCATGCCTCGCCACAAGGGAGCTGCTAATCTATGTATTCATATGTTAGCATATCATGTTATCATATGTTATCATATAGTATTCATCTATTATCATGAATTATTCTGTGAAACATTGTGAAACATATGTTATCTGTGTTATCCATGTTCCAGCGTGTACTGACCAAATACATCCAAGTGCCAGTTATATAAAACATTTCAATTTTGAATAAAGAAAGAAAGCTGAATGTGAAGATCGCGTGCGAGCATGGGAAAGACCCAAAGTCTGGCAGTACATTGCCAATTTCAAACTTCCATAAAATTCCACTAGACTTGGATCCGCACCATCTGTTGATTTCGTCAAATTTGCATCCTGGCAAGCGGATGTTGCAACTAGCAAGCGCGACGGTTGGAATGCAACAAACTCAGCAGAGAACGGAGTACTGAGTGTGAGGTCTTTTGCTTTTCAGACATCAAACTGAGTCTTTCATCGAGCCAAATCAAGTCAGGAGGCTTTGCAAACATGAGTGCTGCAGCTCATCTTTCTGCTTGATTCTTTCATCGTGCGCCGCGAGGTCAGTTTTGCATAAGAATGGTCCAGCTCAGCCAAGGCTGCAGTCGGGATCTGCACGCACCATGCTGGCTGCTGGCTCGAAGTACAATTACCGAATCGAATCAATATAAGCTTCAATAGACATAAAACATGAAACCAAGCATGATGACTTCATATGACTTCACATTGACTGCATACGAAATGTCCATCGCCACTGTAGCACACGAAGTCGGCCTTGTCATCCTTGCATAACTCTTGGAAAGCAGTGGGTCCAACGCCACTCCCAAACGGCTCCCGAACGGCGCAGGTTGGTTGAGATGGAGGTGGAGGACTTTCACTTGCTGATCCATCCAACACCTCCTTCACCATGACAAAATATGACAAAGCGGTTTGGAAAATCCTCAGGGCTTCATCTTCCCAGCACTTTGCAGGACACCATGAAGTCATCATAGTCATCTATCTATCTTGATCTTTTTCATGAATTTCTCATCTTGACTGGCGCATTTGAACAAGATGCAGCGGGCGTCTACTGGATGAAGATGTCAGGTTGGAAATGGTTGGAATGCTAATTCGAGCGCACCCTTCAGGTCGCTAAGGCTTCTAACGCCCTCAAGGCGCCTCGGAGGCTCGACCCTGTGGAAGATGATCAAAGACGGAGCAAAGCCAGGGATCATGACATCTGACATCTCCATCCTTTGTCAACTAGGAATGGCCAAACGAAACACAACGAGCCTCTCTGCACATCCAGAAAGGCGTTCGAATCAATTTCGGCAGTACCTCGATGACCACCATACCGTACCACTGAAGTTGGCAAGTTCCACAAAGAAAATAGAATAGATGAGGCATGGCATCAAGGCGTCCTAGATCGGATAGGCCTTCACCAACTTGCAACATCTCGAATGATCTTTTCCTGTTCCAATGCTTGGGCGTGTTGCCACATGTTGCCACGATATCTGCAGCACGTGCACCAAACTGGCCCGAACCGTCCATCCTTGTCTTGGCCAAATCCATAAACATCTCCAAAAATGATCAAAAATGGATGTCCTGGACAGCATCATCGGTTCCTTTGGCGTTGTAGACCAAAAGGTGATACCATGCAGCACGAAAAACTCAATCCTCTCATATCCTCTCTAGCATTTGCTTCACTGCCCCATCGCACATCCCGGGCACAAGCAGACGCAGGGCATCGAATGGTTACCATTCGATGCCCTGTGCCTGCTTGTGCCCGGGATGTACTTGTTGACCAGGCCGTGACCCTTGTGATCCTTCGGAAACACGTCAAAGCTTTTGTCGGCATCCCCTCTGCTAGTAACCTTTTGCTGTTCCCGGCCATCAGCAGTGCAATGAAATTGGCATCTTCACCAAAACGGGGAACAATGCTGTACAAAACCCAAGGCCTTACGTCTGCAAAAACACCTTGTAGGCAGCGGCTGAATTGCTAAAGGCGAAGTCCACTTCAACGTGTGTGGGATAAGGTTTACTTGCCCACAATAGATTCCTGCAGCAATGGCTGAACTACTGTACTCATGCCACAAATATCAGTCAATATTCATCATGAATCATAAGCAAACAAAGGATGAAAAAAAACGTGATAAAACACGTTTCAAACCACCAGCCCAGCCTGATTCGTGTTGCTCACAAAACTGTTCTGTGAACGGTACATCATTGGCAAGCGTTCCGCCGGAGTGCCGACTGCTCTTCGGGGCAAGTTGATAAATGTCAGCGCTTCTCCTCACCTCTCGATGTCTGTGTGGCATTGCCTAATGAATAGTGCCGTATAGATCCATTTAGTGCTATGTTGCACCTACCAGGGCTTCTCATACTCTTTGTGTACCTCCTGTCAAGCAGGAGTTGCAGCACAGCTCTGTGTCTGTTTGGCCAGTTGTCACTTACAAATTTTACAAGAGCAAACAGCCAAACCGTGAGAAGGCTAGAAGACGCAAAGGTACAGAGATATCAATCTCTATTGCATTTTGCTAATCTCACAAACAATCCCAGCATGAGCGGCCGGTCCAAACGTATTCTATGAAGTTTAGCTGGTGCAGCTGTTTGGTTGTGGCCAAGCAATCAGTCAAGTCAGTGAGCCTCAAGCACCTACAGCCTACGACCTAAGTGCACGGGTAGAACACCTGTCACTTTGCAAAAAATGTAAGATTGACAACAAAATAGAACAAATATAAGAGTGTGATGTTTTCGAATTTCTAGTGCTGTCCTTGACAGTCTTGTCGTGGGTGGAACGGCACAAGATCCTCCGTTTGGGCTTCTTGGGTGTCTCCTCGGGCTCCGTCTCCACCACCAGCAGAGCTCGTTGCTTCGCCTCCGCCTTTTGCTGCGCAATCTGCACGTCCTGGTGGCTGAGCTGAGACGACTCGATGAAATGGTGCACACTTCAGCGCCTGTGTTGCGGTTTTAGAGTGCTTGGCTTCAATTCAAAGGATTTCAAAGGCATAATATGGCATAATATGGCATAATATGGCATGCTATGGCATGGTGGAATCCTGAAACTGGTCAAAGCCAATCAAATCCCCAAGTCCTCGGCCATACCTTGCAATTCATCCATAAGCTCGTTCGTCAGCAAGTTGCCCGGTATCAAATATATTAGATCTTCATACGGGACGACCTGCAGCAACGCAGCACTGTGGCAAATTTCTAAAGATGGATGGAAAAAGATGGTGGGCATTGGTGGGCTCTCTCAGGCAATCTGACAATCCTGAAAAAGTCAAACAGCTCCCAAACAGCTCTGAAAATTCTGAATAGCTTGGCCTGGCCGGCATCTTCCTTCTGGGAAGCTTGCGCTAAAATGTCTCTGTCCAACAGTCCCAGGAGCATCATCTTCAAAGCCCGCCTCACACAGTAAAAAAATGTTAAAAAGAGAGGATTCGAACTTGTCCTGACTACCATCATTGAATGAATTTCAACGAGTGTGGTTTGCATGGCTTGCTTAGAAGTGATCTCTAGAGTGATCTGATTAAGTCTTGAATTAAAGGTTAGGCTGGGTCACTTCATAGTCGCAAGGTTCTCTCAGGCTTCGTCTCATACGACGCGCCTGTAAACTGCTTGCACCAAGTCGGCTTGTCGCATGGCCAGTCGCAGCTGCAACAGCCCAGGATTCTCATCCTGCAGCCGAGCAGGTAGACCCAAGCACAGGCCCTGTTCGTTATGACATGCAAATCTGAAATCACACTGTGTAACGACATATAACGACCTCTTCAAGGCTAAACTGCTAAGCATGTCTTAAGTCTCAAGTGTGAATGAGTCGGTGTGCGAGACACCTCCATGCTTCATTCGGTGATTGTAACACTGTTGGGAACTTCGGTTTCTGGGGACTGAGGGTTGGCAGGTGTCGGTATCAACTCGCCTCCATTGCTGTTTGATAGCTACGCCACGTTCGATCTACCACCAGCAGTTCAGGGCCAACCCACCTCAGAATGCATGCCGATCGAATTTTGGGGGTGTTTCTGTAGAATTTTAAACAATGCATTATGATCATTGGATATCATTGGATATCATTGGATGACATCAGCAAAGGTGTTTAACGGGTCATACGGTTTCACATGGTTTCACTATGCTTGATCAAACTCTTTCACATTCTTTCACCAAACAGTGCCCGTTTGAACAACATCAAACAACCAGTGAGCTTTCGCTCATCCGCCTTGGCAGTTCCTTGGGCCTCATCATATGCACCCAACGTTGTCCGGGGATCAAACTCCATCGGCGCTGACAAAACATCATAGTTCTCTTCGATGATGTCCGCAAGGAGTGATGACAGTGCTGTATGATGCTGATTGATGCTGTATGTGTGTTTCATTTTCCAAGGGCAACTTTGGATGCCTTCAAAAAATCTCCAGAAAATGAGAATTTGGATGGTCAAGTCACTGCGACTGGAGCTTCACTGCAGTCCATGAGCCGATGCAAGGTGGCACTGTGTATTTCTCAAGCTTGGACAATATTCAATGCAGATCAATGCAGAAGGAAAGCAACAGGACATTGTTGAAGCCCACTCTGGAAACTGGGCTGGACCAGAACAAGGATCAGCCTTTCCAATTGATAAATGAGACCTGCTTCCATTTTCCCCGGTGATTCATAAATGCAAACACCCGCCAACTGCAAAAGCAACAGGAGACCCGGCCCCTTCTCTCTTGGAATTGCGCCCACAAAACAGCGACCGCAGCCAAAATCTTAGCCAGATTTGCCGCACGTTTCTCCAGCAGAAGCTGAACCATCTCGGCCTCAAGTGCAGAATCTGCTGGAGGTCGCACAACTTGCAGTGACAAAATGTGACACCCTTCACTGAGGGCAGTTTGTTGAAGTGGAAACAGGCTGAACGATCTGAAAGCTTTGGAAAGCAAACATCGTTAGCTAACCAAAGTGTCAGTCACAGAGAAGTTATAGGATTCTAATGGATTCTAGGATTCTAATTCTAATGATTCTAATGAAGCTGTGAACATTTGCAAAGCCGACCCAACCAAGCCCAGCCAACCGCATGGCATTGAGTACCCAGCACGCCCATTTGCGCATGCCGCAAAGAGCGGCCTCAGTTCACACATCATCGATGTCCATGTTATTGATGGCTTTTGTTCTGACATCGTTTGTTCTGTCCACACAATGGGAATCTGTTTTTTTTAAAAAAAAAACTAACTAACAAAAAAGGGGAAAAGCACCTGGCACCCCAGCGTCTCACCAGCAGAGTTCCGAGTCGGCTTCCCTGCCAAGTCCTCAGTCTTGTGCGACAACATGTGTAACAAAATGTATAAAAATGTAACAATAACAAATAACATACAATAACAGATATCAAAACATATCAAACTAAAAGATTCTTCAAGTATTGTGAAACTGTTCGATGCTAATCCTTTCCTGTTTCGCCTCTCCCTGCAAGGGCCGGACCACCAACCCAGCGGACAGCAAACGTTCCACCTCTTGGACATTGCCATCCTGGCCACAAGCAGAAAGAGATAGGGGGCAAAGCCGGCACAGAAGATGGTTTACAAATGTCTACAACATAGTACAACACCTAGTTACATCATGTTACATCAGCAACTCTACCATTTGTAATTCACATCTAGTTACATCAGCAGCATTTCAATTCGTATTTCAAATTTCTTCAAAGTGTTCTCACCTTCCAATTCAACTGTGGTCTCTCGAACTCCATACAATTGTTGTGGTTCCTATGATTGTGGCAGTTTTAGCCGGTCCTCCTTAATTTGAAGCCTGTAACAATCCCATTTGGAAAGCACCAGATAAATATTATACATATATTATATATATAATATAAATACGAGCAGAATTAAACAGATTTTGCTTTGCTGTTGTCAACATTTGTCAACTACAGCCATTCGGAACAATCCAAGTCCAGGGATAGTCCAAGGTTGAGCCCCCGCCTGCGCAGCATCGTGCAATGCCATGGGTGCAAAGACCCGGTGGATGGCAACTGGAGCGGCGCTCCGAAAAAGAAACGTCCCGACCCGGTTGGAGAACGCCAGGCCTATCCAAATTATCCACCTAGACCAAGTCCAACAAATCTATGGAGAGCACCCCTTCTGATTTAAGGATTTCCATCCAATCTAATTTATCTGATCAAATCTGCCAACATCTGCCAACCCTTCAGAAGATTGGTGAATCACAGCAGTCGGAAGACGTCTGTTTGGAATTGTTTAGTATGAGTATAGACCTGCGAGATCTACGTCACGGTCTGGGTCTCCGACCATTGACCTCGTCATACTTCTCATGGAATTCCTGCAGCCAGCGGTGAAGGTGTGATTCAATCGAATCAATCAACCAAAGACAGCTCATTGCTACCAGGGCCAGGGTAGAAAGTTACACACTTACCAGATGTTACCATCATTTACTGGGTGCAAACGATGTCCCCCGTTCAAGTGCCATTCTGTTTTACCCAGCTAGGGCACCCAACAGGGGGCTGCGGCATTTTCCGGCAGTCGGTTTCTCCAATGATGAGACCTCTCACTGTCTAAAAAGTCACGACTGATTGCATGCAACAAGTGCTGCTGCGCAAGCACCAGGTCTTTCAAGACAGGGACTGAACTGGCTATCAGATTGTTTGGAGAGAGTCTCTTCTGCTCACATCAACAAGTAATATTGCAAGTGCACAATTGCTGCAAATGACTGTCATATGTATGATGTGGTGTTCCCAGACTGTGTCTTTGGGTATCATGGTCGAGCTAATCTGGGGACCAGGCGCAAAATGTTGCGTTTGTCGTCCTATTCAATAGTAAAACGGGCATCTGACGGGCTTCGCAGCTTCATACTCGTGCACAAAACTACATTGTGATTCTACAAGTGCAAGCATATAAGAATATCTGTATCTCGACGTAGCCGCCACGACAACTCCCAACAGAATCACCACGGCAGCAGCATCGTCACTACCACAACTACAATAATAATAATACATCATAAAACACACATGGGAAGGTAGAGATATGTAGAGATAGGTAGAGATATGTAGAGCAGTCCTCATTGGAGGCAGCTGCAGTGGCAATGTCCACTTTGACTCCACTGCCTCGGTATCGGTATCCAAATGTGCGTTGCTGACAACGTGCGCGTTGCAAGTTGTCTAAAGAATCGAGTATGGAACATGTTGGAACTACTTGAAATATTTCAGGGGTGCTGCACAGGGGCACTCGATACTTTCTCATGCAATGCCACTGAAACGCACAGTCCTTACATTGTCTCTTCAGGGCAGTTAAATCTGAGGAATCTGGCACGCAACCTCGTTTGGAAACCACGCACCCTCAAAGCCGGCCTGCATTTTGCTAGACGCGTCTGAAGAACGGCTGTTTTGCAAATACGAACTATACACCAGTGTCAATCGCATTCAACTAGCAACTTACGAATCCAAATATCAACACCTCACAGGATATGCCCTGGATTTGCATTGGCAGCATAGCACCCTACTGGTATTTTTGGAAGAATTGGAAGCGGATCGTTTTAGTGATGAAAAGAACAAAGCACCGCCAGTAGTTAAGTAATCCATGGCAAAGCCTGCTTGAATTTGCAGTAAGAGAGCAGTGCAAAACATGAAAAACCTTCTACCTGCCTTGTCAACGAATCCTCCATCCGCGTCTCCTGCGACACTGAAAAGTTGGCAGTGTGGCACATGCCTACTGGAAACGATACCCAGCTCTGAATGTGCCCTTCCTTGCTGAAGCAAAGCCGGACATCTGGGAACCTCGAAGCAACGCAATTTTGGCTCAGCCCTTGGGCCACTAAGAATGACATAAAAGCACAGCTGCAGAAACACAAGCATCAGAATCGACTCTTCACCGAGTTTTTGACCCTCACTTGCTCCTCTCCAACAGTGATCTTTTGCCGGCCTTCTTGCCTGGTGTAAAAAGTCATGAACAGTGAATACCATATATCAAATTAAAGAAACATATTGATACGATACATAAATAATATATAATAATATATGTATAAAATAGAAAAATCGACAACATATTATCAACATGTTGTTAATATATGTATGTACATAAAGTTATAAATATATATATATATAATATATACATGTATCAACAACATATTGAACATATTGTATCCTGCGTGAGTTTCAACGGCATCTTGCTGTCGAAGTGGGTCTAAGCTCAGAACACCACAGCAGCCACCTCGAAGAGGTGAGGCCTAGACCTTGCACGCCAGAAATACACTAAGGCTCAAATGGGATTGTAATATATTCATTTCAATTAATTCCACATATTATTATTATATATATATATTAGATTATTAGATTATTAGATATTATATAATATATAATATATTTTTATATTATATGTTAACGATAAAGTAGATGAAAATCGTTGGCAAGTCACTGCAGATTTTTGCAGTCAAGTACCCCCTGATCTGCTGGAGGGTCTGACTAACAAACCACCTCTGGGTTGATGGTCCTGCAAACTTGGGGGAAGTGAAGTGGGTCATTTTTCTTCTGCCCACATGTCACAACTCTTCTATACCTTGCGAGAATGGTCGTCTCGTGTCCTTGACATGTGAGATTTTGGAGAATTCATTGCAAGTTTCAGCACTGAGCAGGTCAGAACTGCTTGGCTGCCGGCTTCTTCTTCACATGTTGAGTGCTGATGAAATTCTCCAACCTTGGACGATATTCCGAGGCACAGGAATGGCACAGGATGCGAAAAACGCGCTGGAAGTGAAGCCATAGATTCAAACCAATGAAAGTACTGACGCAACTCCTTCCACATCTGCACGCGCATTCCCAAGGCTTTCACGTACACCATGTTCTTCGGAAAGGCTCCGCATCTTCATCTCAGCTGCATGTTCGATTGGCAAATGTATCAGATATGGTGACTTCAGAGCTGAAGACTGAACCCAAGCCCTTCTCTGGACTTATATATCTATGGTATAGTATTCTATAGTAGTGTATTGCACGATATTGGAATTCGCGGATGGTAAGTTCATATCTATGGCAAAACTAGAGGTTCATTGTAACATATTGTAACATATTGTAACATATTGTAACATATTGTAACATATTGTAACATATTGTAACATATTGTAACTATGTGTCTTGCGACTTGGAAACACGGCAAAACTTGATACGTTCGACAATGAGGTGGCGACTCATCAGCATCACAGTGCCCATGCAGCTGGAGCTCATGATGGCGCGGACGAAGGGAGTGTCCAACAGGTCCGAGGTGTTGAGCTCCTAGCGTCCCGAGCTCCGGTGCCACAGGGCACTTGAAACATGAGCAGCATGGGCGAAAGTGAAGTGATGCGGAACATGCTCAAATTGATGCAAACATGAGCTCAAACATGCTCAAACATGCTCAAACTGTTTAATGTCCTCCAAATTGTGCTGGTTGTTTGCGAAGGTGCAAATCCAGTAGGGACTGGCTTCTGAAAGCCCATGAACCTCTGCAGGAGAAAGTATACGAGTGCCAAAGGATGGCTTGTTTGAACTGGCTGACAGAATAAGAGACACATCACTTGCGTGAAACTGAAAACGTGTCTGGTATACGAGTGTGAGAAATTTGGAAGACGCAAATATACCAAGTCCCAAAGCCTCATCTAATTTGACAACGGGTACATACGGGTACTTTATTACATGATGGTTACATGATGTTACATGATGAGCACACGAGCACTCTGGATCACCGAGTTGCTTGAGAGTGAAAGCTCAACATTGTAAGGCCTTAAAGATGGTTCTTGGGATTCACATGGATTCAGCAGATATGGGTGGCTTGCTGCTCAGATCAAGTAAATCAGGATAAATCAGGAGAGGCTGACAAGTGATGAACCCGGTATCTTGACCAAATTCCAATCTCACACTGTACTATCTGTACTCAAGTCTGTACTTTGCAAATGAACTCAGCCATTGAATTGCGCTTGCAGGAATAGAAGCAGCGACTGGACAAACCATTTTCAGAATGGATACAATCGGATACAAATGATAAACTGAATAAATCACGCAATGAAGAGTGCACAAGCCAAGATGTCGGCTGTCACGCCATGGAGTGCCCCACCAGTGAGAGACAAACCAAACAGGGTCCTGGCAAAAAATCTTCAAGCGGTCCCAATTGCTGAAAATGTTTGAGGCTTCACTCATAAAATTGTGTTGGTGTTCTTGCTTGCAGCCGATGAAGAGCAATCATGTCAAACGTGGAACGATATATTTATAATGGAATTCCAATCCAATAGAAGTCAAATCCAGACCTCTACACACCACAGTTTTGCTCCCTGCCGTTGCCGTCTGGGCAATTTCAGCTTTATCTTGCTTCTGGGTGGCTGTGTCAACCCCTCAACAATGTGTCCGTTCTGCTGCCTGTGGCGCATCCATTACCAACTCGACAAAGCTGCAAACCTGCTACAAGATTACCGCGTCGCGTTGGAAGTGTTGAAAGTTGAAGGATGTTGAGAGTCAGAAAAAATAAGGAAAACATAGGAAAACAATGGCAAACACATAGCAGAAAGCTGGTACAAAAACAGTTTGCACAGCAAGTCGAGTATTGTATGAGTCCGTAAATTTGAATGGGATATGCGCAGGGGTGTTCTTCATTGTTCTTCCAGGAATCCAGAATCATGGCAATAGGCTCTTCCATGCAGAACTTCCCAGATCATTGGGAAAATAGCCACACTTTGGAACGAACACTGTTTGAATTTAAATCTGATCAAACCCGATTCTCTTGGCATGAAAAACAATTCCGTACATGTGTTCCTGAGCAGCACCAGCACCTCTTTCGCAGTCAGGCGAAGAACAAAGAGCTCATTCAGATGGTAGAGGTTGCAATCTTGGGTGAAGGGGTCCAGTCCAAGTCTCACTATTGGCACAGTGCTCAACAACACATCTGAAGTCTCCAAATATATTCAGGTCACTCGCTCAGCATCGCTAGGGTTCCAGACTGTCATGAGTAATGATCCCCAAATCTGTGGAAGGATTTGGGTCTTCCACCTTCAAAATGTTGTTCCATGAATCGTCTGTTCCGTTTCGTCCCCAACATCTCCTGATTCTGAGATCAAAAGCAATGTATCAGCATGGCACTCAGTAGTTGTATGGCCATGTCATGCTTTATCAACGTTGCTTTGGCCAAGTGACAGGCATAAGCTGAAATGATTGACATGTTTCCGCAATGTGACCGGAGTAACTGAATAAAATGAATCATACTAAATCATACTAAATCACACTAATATAATGAATAATGTAAATATAATGTATCATATAATCTAGTAACACGCTTCCAGAAACGACAGGTCAGTAGAAGCAAAGGACTACAACTACACCTGGTCACCTGCAGCATCCAAGCGGCACCTTGATGGACTCCAGAACCTGCTGCACCAATTCTGAAAGAGCCTCACACACGGAACCATGCCGCAAAAAAGAAAACCGAATGTCAACCGGAAAAGATCGGAAAAGACTGAAGTGGGATCTTCACTTTGCGTCGCAGAGTCGCAAACGAAACTTTCATTTTTGCAAGGCGCATTCCATAATTCTTGGCGAGAGCAGTCCTGCAAGCTATGAACAATCTATGGCATCAAGGTTGAAATCCAGCGGACGTATGGCCTAGGGCCTAGGGAGCACCGGGAGCACCGTGCCTTGTAAAATATGGACGAAGGCTTGATGACTTCGGATGACTTCGGATGACTTCGGATGACTCCGGCACTCCCCTGGAAAGCCTTGGAGAATAAGATGAATAAGCAAATCTAAACTGCACATAGACTGCTTCGTGGATTGTGTCCGCAACTGCCTCATGAGTAGAGCCGATCAGTCATGTCAAATGTCTCACGCGAGGCCACACTCTTGGACCAGTTTGGAGAGCGCTGCATCTCTACTGGACGTGTCCTGTTTGAATGCGCCTCTCCATGCTGTACAACGATCTAGCATAGCCTTTCCGAAGCTCCTGTGCTCTTGTCCCTTTTCCACTTGATCCTCCCAATGTTCACGCATGGCGCGCGCCGCCTTGTGATAACCTTCCGGGATCTCATTTCTCTGCAGCCTTGTCCGAGCCTTCAATTCACCAAAAACCCGTTCTGCGTCTTTACAGCTGCGGAACAAGAAACGCAGGGCATCCGCCAAAACTGCCTCATCTTCAAAGTCTTTGGCCTTGGTTCGAGCACTGAAATGACCGGCACGGAAATCCTCCCCTCTGCCACCATCAGTGGCTCCTTTGGTGTCTTGAAGCCGCATACTGCGGTAGTCCTTTCCAAAGTCCACCATGCTGCAAAGACCTTTCAACTCAGCTTGGCGTTCCAAGAGAGCTTCCAGCTGCTCACGTTCAGCCTCAGCTCCAACCAGGACGCTGGTTGGTACGACTTCGGTACGTTCCACCATCATTCCTTCACCAAAAGCACCTGCCACGGTGTCTCGATCCTGACGTCGTAGAAATCGAGTTTCCCATCGCTCCTTCTGGGCAATATCTGCTTGCAACGCCTGGATCTCTTGCTCGATCTTGTCCAAGGCAAGTGTAATTGATGCTGCCTGGTCAGCTTCTCGCCGTTTCTGCACTTGAGCACAGGTCTCAGCAAAGCGCAAGGTTTGTAAAGACTCCTCTGCGTGTGATGGATCCATGGTCACAGTGGTGATGATCAAAGTTCGAGCCGAACCTCCCAAAGCTTCTTGCAAAAGCATCGTCAGCTTCGAATCTTGGTATGGCACATATGGCAAGGCATGGGTAGGTACACCTTCTTGGGCCATCCGACACCTTTGATGCAAAGCCTCAATGACACGCTTCAGCGAGAAGAGACCCTTGTTGATGTTTAGGGTCTCATAAACCCTCTGCCGATGGAGATTGTACTCCTGCGACCCACAAACTCATCGCTCGATGATCAAAAGCAATCAAACAACAAAAAAACAAGAGAGGTGTCAAAAATAGAACCCAAACATTATGTCAAAATATATCCAATCATGTCAAAATATGTCAAAATACCCCAAACCATCTGAGCTCCTGCCAGGTCAAACGGCTTTGTTCTTCACCTCCAACAACCTGAATAAATTGCTCAAGAGAGCGCAAAATAACTTTGTTTGTCATTGTTTGTCATGGTTCATGACCTTCCCACAGCTCAGCTATCACTTCACAAACGCTGACCCTCACAGCAAGATAGTGTCCAGCTTGGGAAGAAGTAAGAGAAGTAAAAGAGGCAAGCACAAATAGCATAAGGTTTTAATTTTTAATAGTATTTTAGACTCAAAGCAAGTGATGCACGCTAATGCTATGCTTTCACCGAGGCACCAGTACTGGAGCTTTCGTTGCAGCATCCACTTTGCTCTTCGAAAGCTGTTCAGAACCGCCAAGATCTGCAAAATAAAAACGACTTTGCCGAATTGTTGCATCGGCGGAATCCATGTCCTTCCTCACCTGCGTGAATCACCAGAAGTGTGGGCTGTGTCATGTGCTTAAAGGCATTCTGACTTGAAACAGAAGATTGCATTCTTTTGTACGGGTTCTCATGGAAAATGCCTTTTCGATGAATGCCACATTCACCAGCAAATAAGGGACCCTCCTCTCATTCCAACACACGGCCTCAGCTAGACCATGCCCATGCCTCAAACCGCCCTCTTCGGGCCTGCAAGGACAGAACAAAGACCGTGTGTGCACGTGTGGAGCGCTCATTCATGGCAGTGGCAGCACGGCGCTTCGCAGCATCGCCGTGCTCCAGCAGCTCTTGCAACTCCTGAATTGTGGTGTGATATGGATGGAGTCATGGAGTGTCAGTCTTGGTACAAATCTAATAAGTTCAGTCGGCAACAGCAGGATGTTACTGTATCATACTGTATCTCCTGTTGCGTGTTGTGGTCCCATGTGATGAGCACATACAAACATGGCTTCCATTCAGCAAGCAGCTACAGAAAACGTTGTCGTTGTTGTTGTTGTCGTTGTTGTTGTTGTTGTTGTTCTTGTTCTTGTTCTTGTTCTTGTTCCTGGCAGACTATGAGAAACACAAAGGCAGCGTACCTCATCAGTTGGGGTTTGCACTAGTGCAATTCATGTTAAGAAAATTCCAGTGCTGAAACTTCCAAAGACCCGACTCATCAGGACTTGACCCGTCCTCCAGTGACTGAATGTGCCACTCAGTGTGCCTGAGGTTAGGGCAGTAACGTCTACAGTAGCAAAAAGGAAGCAGGAAGCCTCTGTGATGTTTCGCAGGATGAGAATTCATGCAAACATAAACCTGCTGGAAGAGGCATTGCTTCTTTGAAAAATAGATCAATTCGCACTCAGGAGCGCGATTGCGAACCTTCATCCACCGATCTGAGACCACACCGATACTAAGAAGCGGTTCATACAGTTGATACATAATATAATCACACTCTACTATATATATATATATAATTATTATAGATTTTTATACAATACAGATTATAGAACGTTTCCTCAAGTTTCCTCTTCCAACCCACTGCAAAAAGGCCCAGCTGCCCGTCCAAGACATAGCGATGGCCGACTCGATCGGTCGCACGCACTGCAGAGTAGCGCCCTTCACGATGTTGGCCCACCACTCGGCCCTCCCGAAGAAGATCAGAAACCTGCCAATGCACAATGCACCGATAAACCAACAAAGGAGAGAACTCCACAGCCCCCATCCAAAGCTCAGGGCAAATGAATGCAAATGGATACTTTCATTGCAGATGCCACAAGTGCATACAAGTGCACACGAGTGCACGTTAGCCGTTAGCTGTTGGCTCGTGGCTTAAAAGCAACCCTGGGACCTCTCTGGACCCACCCTACACATCCCTACACTAGCACCAAAGAAGAAAGCGCAAAGGGTCCGAACACATCAGAACATTCTAAAAGCGAGTAAAAGTGTTTCCTTTCAAAGAACTCCCTGTCAGAAGTTCATTTTTGTGATTGACATGGGTTAGAACAGCGAGACGGTTGGCGCGAAGACCCTCAGTGCCTCACTTCCGAAAAGTTCCACATAGCTGGCACTCAGCCGAACTTCAAGCCCGCGTGAGCGCCAGTGGTCAACTGCCTGCAAGACCTCTGCACAGGTCCTGCATTGGAAAATTATGGATGTACGAAGATTTATGATTTGTGGAAGAAATATGAAGAAATTGTATAAATGTTTGTGTCCTTGGACTCGTTGCTGTTTTTAGTTGTCGTGTTGCACAGGAAGGATGAGTGAACTCGAAGCATGTAGAGTTGTTTTGCAGACTTCCAAGTCAACTTAAGTCAACTGAGGACATGCTAGCAGCATCTGGCAGCTGCAACGTCTGTCCTTGGAACAAGACCTTGCATTTGGTGGTCGGCGACTGTCAGTTGGCCAGTGGTTGGAGGTCCAAACATAGTGTGCGTTTTGCCACTGGCTGTCTGACCGTAGCCTGAGCATCGTGCTGTTGCTTCCTATGAAAAGCATGGTCCACATGTATCTACATGCCATGAAGATCCATGAAGCCATTTCAGAGGTCCAAGGAAATGTGTCACTGCATGTCACTGCCCTAGTTATCCTAGTTAGTTTTTTTGCATTGGCCATTTGGCAGGAGAGACCATCATTCCTTGAACGTAGACTGTCGAAACTGCAGAGCAGAATGGATTTCTCTTACTCAAATCCCAGAGCTGCAAAATGTGAATTGGATTTTTGGAACTTGGGATCAAGCAACAAATGATGCTGGCACTGGTTCCATTCAAGAACTCCATCACCAGGCGCCGCGCCGCTGCTTCGTAGACTTGTGGCTGACTGCTGCGCTCCCCAAAGACGCGGTCAAAGGCAAAGTCGTGAAGGCCGCTGTTCTTCGTCACTGCGAGAACCTCGGGATATCTCGGGCGACGGCTGTCAGTCTGCTACGAGTGACCTACTGGATGGAGTCTAGAGAGGCCAAGGGTCTGGACTTCGTGACTTCGAGTTCAGACTGAAGAAAGTCCAAAGGCCAACAGTTTGCTTTTAAGATGTCAGCCTTCATATCCGAACTTTGCTGAGCAACTGATGCCTTCTCTTCCTGGACTGAGAGAATGGAACAACGTACGTCAATGGCGACGTCGTCCATCTCCTGAGCAAATCTAGTCTAGGCATGCAAAGTCAGTGTATATCCGCCTACCACGGCTAATGCAAAGGGGAGCGCGTCAAGGATTACAGGTTTCTGTTTCTGTTTCAACAACAACAACAACAACTACTACTACTACTACTACTACATCTACTACATCTACTGTAACTATACTGCTACTACTAACTATACTATACTACTCCTTAGTCTTAGGGTTTGAGAGGGTTTCAAGAACATCGGAAAGAGCATGCAAAAGGTGCGATATTACTACTAGTACTACTGGTAGTACCAGCATTAGTACTAATACTAGTACTAATATACTATTTATACTGATACTACTCCTTAGGGTTTCAGAAGCAACGTGGCAGGAAATGCGGAAAAAGCAGAGAAACATCATTTTCTAAGGTTTCAGAAGCAACGTTAGGCACTCTTCCCGTTTACAAGCCTTTCTAGAAGGTGGCAAGAAGTGCGGAAAAAGCAGAGAAACCTCATTTTCTAAGGCTTCAGCAGCAACGTTAGGCACTTTTCCCGTTTATGCTATCTGGCTGAATTGCCGTAAAGCCGAAGCTCAACATTCTTCTCGATGGGCTCGATGAGGGCATTGTTGGACTCCAGGTTTTCTTTGTTGGCATATCCAGGTGACAGACATGGTTGGAAGATTGAGTCACCCGCACTCTCCAAGGTGTCCTTTCCGGTCTTCAAGCGTTGCTGTTTCCTCATTATGAGGCTCACTGCCTCCTTCGACGTACAGCCAAGTTGTTTTCGGACGAGCTGAACCTTCTGATGTAGTGGCAAAACCACCCCATCCTCATCATTCACCAGGTTGCTGATGTTCATGGAGGGACGAAATCGTGCAGCAACCCCAATCTTGAAGTCCTTCAGTCTCGTGTTCAATGGTGCGTGTGCGTTACTGCTGCATCACTGCATCACTTTGTGGCACTCTGAAATTCAAAGTTTCATGATGTTGATATGTTCCTGAGAGCAACAACAAATGACTACTTGTGTACTGAAAGCAGCAAGGGTCAGTGTGAACTGGAGCCTAAAAAACCTTGGCCTTGGCGGAACTAGCGAAGTTTCATTCACTGCACACAGCAGTCCTCACGGTTCTCACCATTTGCTCTTTTGGAAGCCTCCTGGAATTGGAGGAAAAGCAGATGTGGGCCATGCATGGCCATGCCATGTTGCCTCTTCCAAAAGAAATCCGTTTGAGAGTCCTGCCCCATCCTCCTTAGAGCATGTCAAACTGTTGTAGAGGGGCTTGACACAAGAGTAAATACTCGTGGCAACCTCTTGGGGATTGTATAAAAATGCGAGGTGTGCATTGAGAGAATGTGATAATGTGATACAGTACCAGATGATACGAGATGATACGAGATGATACGAGTATAGAATGTGTGCATCTGATGCGCTCCCACAAGGCCTTGATGGCATAGAGCTCCAAAAATAGCTCTCGCCAGTCTCTCGCTACAGGGCACTTCTTGACAGGGTCCGTACCATCACGAGGAAAGTAGATGTCATGTTCTTCAGCAAGTCGCTCGCAAAGGAAATGCCAGTAGCCTCAGAACAGGCGTCCAAACCTGTCCAGACTACTGTATCTGGTCTGCTGTCGAACTCTTAAATTCACCCCAAAGCTTCTTTTCTGTAATGCTTGCAATTTTGACTTGGTCACTGTAAATTTCCCAAGCCTCTAGATATCTTAGGATTTAGGATATCTCCAGATCAAGGTGTTAAAACCCAAAAACCAAGTGGCCTTGTCCATCCTCCAGTTGCAGTGAGGATCGCAGCGCTGGGCTCAGCTGGGTACAAATACCCCGGTGTGGCCAATCGCAAAAGGACAAAATGTTCAAAGGATGTAAATCGGAAGAGTGTCCTTGCCCCATGGCCTCAACAATGCGAAGATCTGCGAAGTGCGGACTGCTGCCACACTTCCAAGAGGATGAATGTGAGTCATGTCATGTCAAAGGATTTCTGCTTGTAAGATTTTGTAAGATTTGTAAGATGCCAATAGCATTTGAGTTTCCGATCCAACCTGTTCAACACTTCTGTCAAGCGTGCGGTTCTCCCTTGGTCTGAACTTGTTTGTCCATTTGATTGGTGGCCAGCCCGCGCTGGGAAGATCCCAATGGGGCATGAGCAAAGATCCAAAGTGGGAGATGCAGAGCAGACTGCATAGCATTAAAGATCATTAAAGGACAATACGGTGCACTGCCATGCACCGCATCCTCCTTCATCTGGGACAATCGGTCATTCTTGGAGAGACTCAAAATACTCTAAGATCTCGGTCCTGAAGTATGTGTGTCCATGTGTCCAATGATTCCAATGCAGGTTGTGATATACATACAGGCGACTTATATACATGGGATCACGCAATGCACTGAGAATGATAAGATGATAAGAGTTATTTTGCTTGTCCTGATCCTGAATCATGTGTTTGGCAAACCTGTGAATTGATGGAGGGAATTGGAGGGATATGTTCAAATCCTTTGAATCCAACCAATTCCATTGGAGCCACTTATAGCAAGCTGCATGCCCTTCAGCCGCCTTGAGCTGCTGCAAGGTGATGCCACGACGATGAGTTTCAGCCTGGGAGCAAGATTCTCCAGCTCAAAGAATGAAAAAAAGGATGTACAGATCTGTACAGTATGATGTTTGTCGTACGTTTGTGAGGTCGATTCAGAAAGGTCCTGGTGTAGGCAAGTTTCAACCGCAAAGTCTTGGGGGATGCTGCATTGACAGAACCAGTCATATCCAATGAAGCATAATCCGCCGACCCCTGCCGTCAGCAGGGGGAGCGCGTCAGAGGAGGCCTTACTATAACAAGATGCCAGAAGGGGCTAAGAGTTTGAGCAGAACGAAAGCCGGCTCCAGGAGGACACGAGCAGGGTGGCAGTTGGCAGTGTAGAAGCGCAGGAAAAGTCAAGGTTTGGAGCTAGTTTCTAGTCGGTTCAGAAAGTGACGTTTGGCAGTCTGGGATAGGGGCCGCGGGCCCAATCCGTCCTTCACGGCCATGGTGTTTTAGCCCTGCGACACGGTCCTTGGACTCCAGCTCGGACCGAAGCGGTGCAGAACGAAAGCCGGCCCCAGGAGGACACGAGCAGGGTAGCAGTTGGCAATGCAGAAACGCAGGAAAAGTCAAGGTTTGGAGCTGCAGTTCAGAAAGAAACGTTAGGCACTCACAGCCGTGGCCCGCACGCCCGATCCGTCCTTCACTGCCATGGTGTTTGAGGCCTGCGACAGGGTCCTTGGACGTTTGGCAGTATGGGCTGCCGGCCGCGGGCCCGATCCGTCCTTCACTGCCATGGTGTTTGAGGCCTGCGACAGGGTCCTTGGACTCGAGCTGACGGCAGGAAACAGCAAGGTTTGAAGCTAGTTTCGAGGCAGTTCAGAAAGCAACGTTAGGCACTCACGGCCGTGGCCCGCAGGCCCGATCCGTCCTTCACTGCCATGGTGTTTGAGGCCTGCGACAGGGTCCTTGGACTCGAGCTGACGGCAGGAAACAGCAAGGTTTGAAGCTAGTTTCTAGGCAGTTCAGCAAGCAACGTTTGGCACTCCGGCCGTGGCCCCGCAGGCCCGATCCGTCTTCACTGCCATGTGTGTTTGAGAAGCCTGCGACAGGGTCCTGGACTCAGCTGGAACGAGGAAACATCAAAGTTTGAAGCTAGTTTCTAGGCATTTCAGAAAGCACGTTATTCCACTCACGGCCTTGTCCCCATGCCCGATCCGTCCTTCACTGCCATGGTGTTTGAGGCCTGCGACAGGGTCCTTGGACCCGAGCTGACGGCAGGAAACAGCAAGGTTTGAAGCTAGTTTCTAGGCAGTTCAGAAAGCAACGTTTGGCAGTATGGGCTGCCGGCCGCGGGCCCGATCCGTCCTTCATTGCCATGGTGTTTGAGGCCTGCGACAGGGTCCTTGGACCCGAGCTGACGGCAGGAAAAAGCAAGGTTTGAAGCTATAGTTTCTAGGCAGTTCAGAAAGCAACGTTTGGCAGTATGGGCTGCCGGCCGCGGGCCCGATCCGTCCTTCACTGCCATGGTGTTTGAGGCCTGCGACAGGGTCCTTGGACTCGAGCTGACGGCAGGAAACAGCAAGGTTTGAAGCTAGTTTCTAGGCAGTTCAGAAAGCAACGTTAGGCCCTCACGGCCGTGGCCCGCAGGCCCGATCCGTCCTTCACTGCCATGGTGTTTGAGGCCTGCGACAGGGTCCTTGGACTCGAGCTGACGGCAGGAAACAGTAAGGTTTGAAGCTAGTTTCTAGGCAGTTCAGAAAGCAACGTTAGGCACTCACGGCCGTGGCCTGCAGGCCCGATCCGTCCTTCACTGCCATGGTGCTTGAGGCCTGCGACAGGGTCCTTGGACTCGAGCTGACGGCAGGAAACAGCAAAGTTTGAAGCCAGAAAGCAACGTTAGGCACTCACGGACGTGGCCCGCAGGCCCGATCCGTCCTTCACTGCCATGGTGTTTGAGGCCTGCGACAGGGTCCTTGGACTCGAGCTGACGGCAGGAAACAGCAAGGTTTGAAGCTAGTTTCGAGGCAGTTCAGAAAGCAACGTTAGGCACTCACGGCCGTGGCCCGCAGGCCCGATCCGTCCTTCACTGCCATGGTGTTTGAGGCCTGCGACAGGGGCCTTGGACTCGAGCTGACGGCAGGAGGACCCAGCAAGGTTTTGAAGCTCGTTCTAGGCAGTTGTTCAGAAAGCAACGTTAGGCACTCACGGCCGTGGCCCGCAGGCCCGATCCGTCCTTCACTGCCATGGTGTTTGAGGCCTGCGACAGGGTCCTTGGACTCGAGCTGACGGCAGGAAACAGCAACGTTTGAAGCTAGTTTCTAGGCAGTTCAGAAAGCAACGTTAGGCACTCACGGCCGTGGCCCGCAGGCCCGATCCGTCCTTCACTGCCATGGTGTTTGAGGCCTGCGACAGGGTCCTTGGACTCGAGCTGACGGCAGGAAACAGCAAAGTTTGAAGCTAGTTTCTAGGCAGTTCAGAAAGCAACGTTAGGCACTCACGGACGTGGCCCGCAGGCCCGATCCGTCCTTCACTCCCATGGTGTTTGAGGCCTGCGACAGGGTCCTTGGACTCGAGCTGACGGCAGGAAACAGCAAGGTTTGAAGCTAGTTTCTAGGCAGTTCAGAAAGCAACGTTTGGCAGTATGGGCTGCCGGCCGCGGGCCCGATCCGTCCTTCACTGCCATGGTGTTTGAGGCCTGCGACAGGGACGTTAGGCACTCACGGCCGTGGCCCGCAGGCCCGATCCGTCCTTCCCTGCGACAGGGTCCTTGGACTCGAGCTGACGGCAGGAAACAGCAAGGTTTGAAGCTAGTTTCGAGGCAGTTCAGAAAGCAACGTTAGGCACTCACGGCCGTGGCCCGCAGGCCCGATCCGTCCTTCACTGCCATGGTGTTTGAGGCCTGCGACAGGGTCCTTGGACTCGAGCTGACGGCAGGAAACAGCAAGGTTTGAAGCCAGAAAGCAACGTTAGGCACTCACGGCCGTGGCCCGCAGGCCCGATCCGTCCTTCACTGCCATGGTGTTTGAGGCCTGCGACAGGGTCCTTGGACTCGAGCTGACGGCAGGAAACAGCAAAGTTTGAAGCTAGTTTCTAGGCAGTTCAGAAAGCAACGTTAGGCACTCACGGCCGTGGCCCGCAGGCCCGATCCGTCCTTCACTGCCATGGTGTTTGAGGCCTGCGACAGGGTCCTTGGATTCGAGCTGACGGCAGGAAACAGCAAGGTTTGAAGCTAGTTTCTAGGCAGTTCAGAAAGCAACGTTTGGCAGTATGGGCTGCCGGCCGCGGGCCCGATCCGTCCTTCACTGCCATGGTGTTTGAGGCCTGCAACAGGGTCCTTGGACTCGAGCTGACGGCAGGAAACAGCAAGGTTTGAAGCTAGTTTCTAGGCAGTTCAGAAAGCAACGTTTGGCAGTATGGGCTGCCGGCCGCGGGCCCGATCCGTCCTTCACTGCCATGGTGTTTGAAGCCTGCGACAGGGTCCTTGGACCCGAGCTGACGGCAGGAAAAAGCAAGGTTTGAAGCTATAGTTTCTAGGCAGTTCAGAAAGCAACGTTTGGCAGTATGGGCTGCCGGCCGCGGGCCCGATCCGTCCTTCACTGCCATGGTGTTTGAGGCCTGCGACAGGGTCTTGGACCCGAGCTGACGCCAGGAAACAGCAAGGTTTGAAGCTATAGTTTCTAGGCAGTTCAGAAAGCAACGTTTGGCAGTATGGGCTGCCGGCCGCGGGCCCGATCCGTCCTTCATTGCCATGGTGTTTCAGGCCTGCGACAGGGTCCTTGGACCCGAGCTGACGGCAGGAAAAAGCAAGGTTTGAAGCTATAGTTTCTAGGCAGTTCAGAAAGCAACGTTTGGCAGTATGGGCTGCCGGCCGCGGGCCCGATCCGTCCTTCACTGCCATGGTGTTTGAGGTCTGCGACAGGGTCCTTGGACCCGAGCTGACGCCAGGAAACAACAAGGTTTGAAGCTATAGTTTCTAGGCAGTTCAGAAAGCAACGTTTGGCAGTATGGGCTGCCGGCCGCGGGCCCGATCCGTCCTTCACTGCCATGGTGTTTGCGGCCTGCGACAGGGTCCTTGGACTCGAGCTGATGCCAGGAGACAACAAGGTTTGAAGCTAGTTTCTAGGCAGTTCAGAAAGCAACGTTTTGCAGTATGGGCTGCCGGCCGCGGGCCCGATCCGTCCTTCACTGCCATGGTGTTTGCGGCCTGCGACACGGTCCTTGCAGCCTGGGTCCGTGGACCCGAGCTGTGCAGCACGAAACCCAGCTGCAAGACGAAGAGGTCGCAAGCAATTTGGAAGCTGGCAGGGCAGTGCAGAACGGCAGGCAAAGTCGAGGTTTGCAGCTACTTTCGCGTCACTTCAGGAAGTGCCGTTT